ATGAGCTGTACGAGATATACGACGACATTGACATAGTTCAGCGAATTAAAAGACAGCGGCTACGCTGGCTAGGTCATGTTGTCCGGATGGACGAAAACAGTCCAGCTCTGAAAGTATTCGACGCAGTACTCGCCGAGGGAAGCAGAGGAAGAGGAAGACCTCCACTCCGTTGGAAGGACCTGTCTTCACTTGGAATGTCTAATTGGCGCCACGTAGCGAAAAGAAGAAACGACTGGCGCGCGGTTGTTAACTCGGCTTTAATCGCGTAAGCGGTGACTACGCTAATCAAGAAGAAGAAGAATACGGAACCGTCCGTTTCCATACTTCACCGACCTTCCATGGATATCAAGGAACACAACTTGTCATTAAAATAAATTCGGTACGCATACATAAACATAAACAATATGTTAATAATATGTAATAAGTTAACAAATTATGGTAATTAAAGGGTAAACCTATAATCATAACAAAGGACAGGAAACTATATAAAAAGCGCAAGCATGCAGTGTAAAGAGTCTGAATGTGAATTCAACGTTTGTGACTGCACACAAAATTAATTTTCGACCTTCACGTAACGGTAAATTTGTGTACTCAAAATTATAAAATAATAAGTTCTTTTAATAAAAATCTCAATTTTTCAATCATTTAGCAAAAGTTTTGAAAAGTTTGTGAAACAAGCATATTTATTAAGATACACGAAAGGCGCAGTATTATTTGCTTGCAGGCGAAAATTGAAAATTATTAAAAAGGTTATAGAATATGTATATTGTTTGAAGGCCGAAAAAAGCGAATAATCCAGAATTTTTTCTGAGAAAATTTTTAAGAGTATTAATTCAAAAAATTTTATACAAATTAGTAATAGTAAAATTATTAATTTTAAAAGGAACTACAAATAATCTTGGGCGGCTATATCTCTGAACTGCATCCTCTCAAATTAAAAAAAACCAAACAAATTTCCTTAAAGTAATGTTAAATCTAGTAAAGCAAATCGAAGGAATAAACAAAATAAAACTTTTTGACAAAATGGCGGTTTCTCAGAAACCAAAATTTGACCAAAATTTCGGCCTTAAACTATTTATAAAAAAATATTTTTCTTCGATTAATTATTAAAAAAATATATATTTAAGAAGCTCGGATTAAAATTTGAGACTGTGGACTTAGCCGTTTGCGAGTAATGTTGGTCACCGAAATTGAAAACACCATTTTGAGAAAAATACGTTTAAAGTTTGGCCTTGTAGTTCCAAGGATTCTAAAACTCCTTTTCAAATTTGCCGGTAACTTCGAAAATATTCAACGAAACGATATAAAATTTTCTATGTCTATTGTTAAATATATGAATATTAAAAATGTAGAATAAAAAAATCGATTTTTTGAAAATTCTAAGTGTATATAACCCCTTAAATATTTGCACTGAGTGTAAGCAACTTTTTGTTATAAATTACATATCTGATTTTATTCAGACATTCTCAAACTAAGTATTATGGCGTAACAGTTCCGTAACAGTTCTGTAAAATAATTTAATATAACAATAACATAACTCACCATTTGAACCGTGAAAGAGTTGTGTAAAAATTCTAAATGATGTCCTGAAATATCAAATACGCATTCAAAGAACTGTAAATACTATTTAACTGAAAATTTTTCGAAAGCATTAATTTATATTATAAATTTTAAATTAATATTTAGTTATCTGCTCACAATGATTCTGGAAAATAAGGAAGAACTATACAAACGCAACTACAACTCCATCAAAGTCTTGTTTCGGGTATCTTACACGTTGGGTGTAAATTTAACCGCGCCTGATAAATTCAAGGATTCATTAAAAATGTAAGTACAGTCATAATAGGTGAAGAAATGCTAAGTTCGGGTGTAACCAAATATTTTATTCATTCGCAATTTTCAAAGGTCAAAGTGAGGGTAATATTTTCGAGTGCCGATATAACTTCATATTAAACTTCTGTTGAATAATGCTAAAGCGGGTCAATTTACAGGGAGCCAGAAAAACAAATTCTAACGGTGTGATATCGCACAATCTTGGTGGACAGTCCACCAGCCCACAACCTCAATTATCTGTCATCTCAATAAATCTATTGATTGATGACATGTGTGGGAAATGGCGAACAAAAATTGCCAAGATCACATGCTTCAATTTCAGGCATCACCATTGACGGTTACGTTCTCACCGGTATCACAAATTACACCAAACCCTTGTTTTTTCTGGATGAAATGTCAGCCTTTGAATCTCTTTAGGTTGCCATTCGTCCTAAATGCACCAATTTTGTTTGTCTACATTTACACCATTAGACCATTTTTGTAGAGCATTCAATTTCCTACAAAATCTAAGAAACAAGATATTTTTTCAAGTAGTTGAATGCGAGATATAGAGTTTTCTATATGATAATAAGAAAAAATAGAAAATTGCAAATAAGAGAACCTTCCCGTTACAATTAAAAACTCATTATTGGAGAGGCTTACTTAGAGGTGTCTAGGAACCTATTTTTCAGAGTACCAAAGGAAACAAAAAAAAATTTTTTTTAATCACCCTAATATACATACTATGTAATAAAATATAAAAAACAATAATTTGACTAACATGCTTTTTGATTACTGACTAAAATATATTTTGATTTATTCTTTGGCAAGTATTCAAATTATTTTGATAGCAAGCAGCCTTCTCTCGCTCTTTGCCCACTGGTGGTATCTCAAGCGACATATTGACAGCATACCACTTATAGCTGAGGTTTGTAATATTATATAAAAAAAGTTATATTTATTTTTTATACTTATTACATACTAAACTTTGTATAAAACTCGCAGACCGTTTTCACTGCTTTGCAAATTGGCATGGCCGCCATTAAAATGATATATTTCTTCTTCACACATCGTACCTTCTACCGTCTGCTGGATCAGACTTTAACACATGAAATAATACGCAAAATAGAAATACTTACTGGTTAGTTTCTTAAATTTATATTATATGTTGGTCAAATATATCCTGAGCTAATTTAACAAAAATATCGTTGCAGATTTTCCAATAGATCGGCAGTTGAGGCAAGAGATCGATGACATAATGAATCGAGTTTGGCGCAACACTCGACATCTATTTTTATTTTATTTTTGTTGTTGTGTTGGTATTATTGCCAATTACTTTTTTACCGCCTTCTTCGTGAATCTCTATCATCAGCTGAAGCAAACACCCGATTATGAGTTCTTTCTGCGTAAGTATTGCTAACTTATGATAGGTCTCATTAATTTATTCTAGAACTCAAGTGCTTTAACGCTTAAATCAAACTCGATATTATTAAATAAAAGAATATGTGGTCTTTTATGTCCTTCATAGTACTTGACATTTTAATACTTTAGAGATATTTACTTTCTCTATAAATCAGCTGTTCCGGCACTCTACCCATTTTGGGAAAAGAAAGGCATGGCATTTCCCTACTATCCTATACAAATGTATATGACCGGTGCAGCGCTCTATGTTTCAGGCCTAGGTGAGTATAAAAGAGTTCCCAAGCAGTACTTTCGAACGGTAAAATATTAAATCACAATAAGGGAGGTGGAAAAAAATTGTGAAGAGTCGAATAATCTATACTATTGAGAAGGCCAGATGATATCACAAAAACAGCATTAGACTGGAATCCGCAAGGGAGCCGCAGTTAGACCAACCAATGTGTGGAGGCGACACGAAACATGTTATTCTTAGAGCCAAAAAAAATTCCTAGCGTGATATAAATTGAATTATGATAAATATTTAAAATTCTAAGGCATAAAAATTAACAGAAATTAACAATAAATTTATATCTATCACAGGTGCGGTGAGCTTCGAAGGCGTCTTTATGGTGCTATGTCAGCATGCAGTTGCTTTAGTGAAGGTCCACAATTTGTTGGTGCAACACGCCACTTCACCACAGATACCGACTGAGAGGCGGCTAGAGTACCTACGATATCTCATAATTACGTATCGGCGCATAAGCAAGTAATACACATTTATATATATTAAAAATTATAAGCACTTTTAAGAGAAAAATCCATTTTCCGCCCCGCAGGTATTTGCAAGAAATCAAAACAATTTTCAGACACATCAGCTTGGTACAGTTCTTGCTTAGCTTGTTTGTAATGGGCTTTGTGTTATTTGAGATTAGTTATGGGTTGGTAAGTCGTACATACTCGTATATATATTTAAACTATATTACTACTTTCATATATCAACGCCGGAGTATATTAATTTTCAAACACAAATCTCTTTAAATTTTTAAGGAAGCCAGCATAGTTATCCTCATACGTATGATCATGTATATATCCGCTTCAATATCTCAAATCACTATATACTGCTATCATGGGCAGGCACTTACTAGTGCGGTAATTGATTACTAAAAAAAAATAGTATTTTTTCTACTGTAAAAGTAAAATTTTTTTTGTTGAATAAGTGCGAGGAAATCCCACTGGCTTATTACAATTGCGATTGGTATGGCGAGAACAAAACATTCAAAAACCTCATATTGATGATGATTATACGAACAAATGAAGAGTTTAATATGGAAGTATCATGGTTTACTCTGATGAACTTGACCACATTGATTTCTGTAAGTGAATTACGACTCTATAAATAATATTAAATCTTATTTGTTTAAATAATTTTCATTTTTACAGTTGCTGAGAGCGAGTGGATCCTACTTTTTGCTATTGCAAAATCTTCAAGAAGATTGATTTCATAACATTATATAATATATTATAGATAAAAATGTATTTAATATTTCAATAAAGAACTTAAAAAATTAACTAGAAAACACAAGAAGTGTAAACAAATCGAAAATCATTATATTAGGGATATGCTTCCCATCCAGAATGAGCTCTAGATATTTCACTGTATCCATTTTTGGCAATGGTGAAACCGGGATCTAATATAATCTAGTAAATAAAACCATTACGGTTTTACCATACCATAAGTGCTACATCGTCTTCATAGGCAATCAACCGGCAGCCACGGTCCTCAAGTTTTTTAAGCAGGTCGTTAACGACCAGTATCCATAGAAGAGGGGAGAGAACTACAACTTGTGGGATTCCCCTACTCATATTTCGTCGAGCGCGTGCGTTGCTCCATTCTGTTTCAATCACACTGTCGCACAAAAGACTTAAAATAAGTTGCTTAAGGTTTGATTCAAGGGTATATTGACAAACAATTTTTCTTTTTGTTTAAATATTATAAAGCCAGTTTTAAGTCTAAACCATTTTGCATAAGCAACTTTAAGAGAAGAGAATTAGCTTTTCACGAAATCACACTCGTCAAATAAATTTTTTACATGTTTGACTGCGCTTTACCATCCGATAATAAGGCAACGACAGAAAACATAGCAAAAATGGCGCCCTTCTTTACACTACTAAACTTTTTCGCATCACAAAAAAATTATTCGACTCATAAAACAAGTGATTTTTGCTTGCGTCTGGACAATTAAAAATTAAGTGGTGGATTCACGCCCCACAAAGGGTTAGTTAAGGCACACAAAAAATCAATAAAATCGTCATATCAAATCAACTGGTCATAATCAGTGTGGGTGTGAACATTAATGAAATTTTAAGTGCTAGTTTCACGCCCATTCACAAAGGCATTAATTAGACAACAATAATTTTTAACAGGGACGAGCTATGCTTGACCCATTCTGTCTTTGAAAGCGTAGTATTTAAGATGCTACAGCCAACAATTAAGTAATCACTTAATAATCGCTGGCATAGTTAAGAGGATATCATAGTCAAGATGTTGTCAGAAAGTGTGGAAAAAATATATAAACGTAACTACAACTCAATCAAAGTGCTTTTTGGAGTATCCTTCAGTTTGGGTGTGAACTTGACAGCGCCCAGTAAAATAAAAGATGCCTTGAAACTGTAAGAGTGACTATGTAAAGATAAATTTAGATTAAACTATAATTCCATATTTTTATTACTTTCTACGCCAGTTTCAATGTGATTTGGGTAGTGACCAGTCTTCTATCCTTATATGCCCATTGGAGTTATTTCATTCGCCATATTGACAATATACCACTTTTTGCTGAGGTTTGTGGTATCTCTAAAAATGTTTTTGTTCATGTTTTATATATATAACAAATACTACTTCTTTTAACGAATTCGTAGACCATTTGCACCGCTTTGCAAACTCTCATTTCCGCTGTGAAAATGGTGTATTACCTCTTCACACAACGTACTTTCTATCGGCTTCTGGATCAAACTTTGACACATGAAATAATTCGCAAAATAGAAATATTTGAACATGGTTTGTTATTGGTTGGGTTGAACTGGAAGTAAGTACTTTTTTCATTTCCCAATAGACTTCCCTATAAATCACCAGTTGAAGCAGGAGATCGATGGTATAATGAGTGGAGTCTGGCGTAGTGCGAGGCGCCAAATATTATTTTATTTCTGTTGTTGTGTGGGTATTGTTTGTAATTACTTTTTTGGCGCCTTCTTTGTGAACCTCTATCACCAGCTGAAGCAAACGCCCAATTATGAGCATATATTACGTAAGTACTGCAAGTTATTAAGAGCCAATAATTTACTTCTTCATAACCTTAAAATGCATTCAATAGTGTCAAAACTGAAGAGTTTACAGGTACGGAGATACAAATTCTACTGATTAAAAAAATGCTCTCTCAGTCATCTAATCAAATAATCATATTTAGTCCACTTCTCTTCATTAAGGAGTGACTTTTTCTTTATTGGAGTAAATACCGCTTAGGCGGTTATAACCGAGTGTACAACAGCGCACTAGTCGGTTCTTCTTCTCGCTGTTTCGCGCTAATTGGAGATTCCAAGTGTAGGCAGGTCCTTCATCTCCTGGACTTTCTAACGAAGTGGAGGTCTTCCTCTTCCTCTTCTTACCTGGGCGAGTACTGCGTCGAATACTCTCAGAGCTGGACTGTTTTCATCCATTTGGACGAAGTGACCGAGCGAGCATAACCACGGTCTCTTAATTCCTTAAACTATGTCAATATCGTCATATATCGGCTGTGGTATTCGCCGTTGCCGATGCGGAAAGCACCATAAATCTTTTTCAAAACCTTTCTCTCGAAAACTCGTCATGACGACTCATCAAATGTTACCATAACGGAGACCATAAGTGGCTTGTAGAGTTTAGTCTTTGCTCATCGAGAGAGAGCTTTACTTCATAATTGCCTACTCATTCACAATATTGCCTTCGAAATTAAACTTATTAAATAATATTCTTACATCCTTAAATTTAAGAGCTGTTAAGGCTCGGGAAATAAATGACATCCCATTATAAAGGTGCAACCACGAAATTAAGGTCGAGAAAACGCAGAAATCTGATCGAAATTAATTTAGCTTAAAACCAAGAGCTTTTCGAAATCTTTAAGCTTGCTATAGCTTTCAATTAATCCTTTCGTTTGTCTTGTTATGTATAGTATACCGCTTCAGAAATTTCCCGAAGATGAGAGAATGAAAACAGTTGACAAATTTAATGCGAAATTAAAGCTTAACCTATAGTTTATATCCGATCTGTTAAAAATATAAAACTTTCTACCAAAACCTTTTCGTTTTATATGCGTTGTAACGACAAACAATTAGTTCACCCATAAAAAAAAAACACATTTTACAAAGTTTTTCATTATTTTCTGTGTAATTTCAGCATTTCCTGCTTTGTATCCAATTTGGGAAGATAAAGGCATGACATTCCCCTATTATCCATTGCAAATGTATATGTCTGGTAGTGCTGTCTATATCGCTGGCATGTGTGAGTATAAACGAGTTATCTATGAAGTACTCGTAATTACGAATGAAAATATAACTCGGTAAAAAAGAACTTAGTTTGGGACACGTCAATATTTTATACTAATGTGAGTCTTCTTCTACAGCTTTGACACAAGTTGCCTCTAACCTTTGCAGGACCGGACAGTTTTACATCGCAAGTGCAAATAGGTCTCAATGCACTTAGCCTTTTCATTGGATGCTTGGTCGGCCTTGCTTCCGTTCTCCTCCCTTGGTTTACGAATCGAAGGAGCTTTTACTGGGGCATCGTGTTTCATGGGTTCGACTTGGCCTAACCAGCAAATTCATAGGATTTGTTTCCGCTTATCCACATATATCTATGCCGTCATAGAGCTCATACAGTCCGTGATTTCATCTTCAAATCATACGCCGACGGCTCCAAAGACCGTGCGCAAAACAGTTCTATCGAATGCTTTAAGTGCTTTGTGATCTCGGCTCGTCATCATTAATGTTTCTGTCCCGTAATGACGGGAATGATAAAGGACTTATAGAGCGTAGTTTTTGTTGTTCGAGAGAATTCATATTCTGTATCTTACTGAAAAGAGTTCTTCTGCGCTTGATATCCTGACTTAGGTTGTTGGTGGTGATAATGCTGGTTAAGAGATAGACAAAATTCTTTCATCTTTTCAAATTTATAGCTGCCAACAATAATGTAATTCCCACGATGCGAGAAGTTTTTGTGTGTAGTCTCCAGGTACTTTGTCTTGCCCTCGCTCGCAACAAGACCCACCTCTTCCACTTCTTCTTCTAAACTAGAAAGGTTCTATTGTTATGGCTTACTATGTAAATATCATCTGCGTGCGGCAGAAGCATCGTCTGATTAGAATAGATAAACTCATAAACCCATGTCTTGTCGCCAGTTATAATGCTTTCCGTGAATATGCGGTCGGAATTCGCACGATCAATTATGTCCAAAATGACCTGTTTACGGTATTTTTGAAAAAAAAATTCTGCTTTAAAAAGTCGAATCCAGCAAGAACGCGTTTTATGCTCAAAGTATTCAACAAAATCATTCGAACAGACTCGAATCTCTTGCTACCTCTCTAATATCCCTACTTGCTTGTCGTTTCAAGCACCATATATTTCACTTTTTTAATATTTTAATGAATTGAAGAAGTCGAAGTTCGTCCAAAACGAGACATGTCTTCAACGATCTTTCAATAGTCATTGAAGACTTTGTATCACTCGTACGCTTGTGTTTTTGATACAACTGTATCACCGTAAACCTACGCACCTAAACATTGGCAACGATTCTGCGAATGATATGATGAAAAACAAATTTTGAGGCAAATTCTTTGCTCGATAATTTTTTCTATTGTAAAAATCGCAACGCACTACTGAGGTGTACCAACTTAAGAACAACTGCTGTAAACTAACTGGTTGACAGATGGCGCTCATATTTGGGACTGTAATTAAGGACAGTCATACGAGTACCAAATTAGCAAACTACAAATTAAGGAATAAAGGGATTATTAAGTTAATGAATAGAAAAAAATAACATAAAATTTTATGAATCTCAGGTGCGGTGAGTTTCGAAGGCGTCTTCATCGTGCTATGTCAACATGCTGTTGGTTTGGTGAAGGTCCACAATTTAATGGTGCTTCGATCCGCATCGCCATTAATACCGGCTGAGAGGCGGGTTGAGTATTTGCGTTATACCATCATTACTTATCATCGAATAAATATGTAATAGAATATAATAATATATTGAGTATAAAAAACAATTTCAATTCAAAAATTTTTAAAATTTCAAAACAGTTTTGCGCAGCAGATCCAAACAATTTTCAAGCACGTCAGCTTGTCACAATTCGTACTGAGCTTGATTGTATTTGGTTTTGTACTGTTCGAAATGAGTTTCGGTTTAGTAAGTACATGCAAACAACATTTGATTTGATTTAAAGCAAAAAAAAATACCTTAAACAATTTTTTGT